TGTCAAGCTGGGCCAGTGGGCCAGCACTCGGAGGGACCTCTTCTCTGAGGACTTCTGCGATGAGTTTTCTAAGCTGCATGTCGAGGTGAGCCCACACCCGTGGGGCCACACTGATGAGCTTCTAAGGAAGGCCTTTGGCGAGGACTGGATGGGCATCCTCAAGTTCCAAAGCCAGGAGCCGGTCGGCTCGGGCTGCGTGGCCCAGGTGTATAAAGGCTATGCCGACCTCACGGCTATCGCGGGCTCCCAGGCCAAGGAGCCAGCGCAACACTCGGAGTTAAAGTCCGCTTTTGAAGCATGGGAAGTGTCAGGCTTTAGAGGCCTCCTTAGGTGGCTGAGGAGGAGGAAGAGCAAGGAGATATGGGATGAGAGGAGCAGGGAGGAGCTGAGCCCAGCAGACTGCCCCGGGGGAAGTCCTGTGAGTGGGATGTCCCTTATGGAGCAGATGGCCAAACCACTCCTGAACGCAAGTCCTTCGTCAGCCAGACATCTCACGCCCGTAGCCATTAAAGTAAGTCATACGTCGGACTGGTAGATGTGTGAAAGTGGAGTGTGCTGGACGAGGCTGATCAGATTTCAGTTCCCATGGAGATAAGTAGCTGGCTAGGACCAGGTAGAGTGAGAGATGTGATGCTTGTCTCTCTCGGTGTCTTTCCTAAGTGCTTTTGTTCCAGCCAGCTGCAATCCAATCTCGTGGTGGCCCCAGCTCTTCCCAGCCCTGGAGAGCTCGAGTACGCATACTGCCTATGGCACCATTTGACATGGCATGTGGATACCCGAAATGCCTGCAAGGGCCCAGTTTACATTAAAAGAATGAATATTAAGCTTGGTTTCACCTTCCAGACAATGAAACCCCTTCTCTGCTCACATGAAGAAATCTGGAACAGATAAGTTCTTTCCAGCAAAGTTTATTTAAAGAAATCTTACATTTCAGCTGCTCCAAATACTAGTCAGTGCTACATGGCAGGGAAAGGGCGGGAGTGTGAAAGCAATGGAAAATGGCATTGGGTGAGACTGTAGTCTCCAGCACAGATACATTCTATTTGACAATTATGAAATATTTCTTTACAACTTAATCCATGGCAAAACATGAATTCTGCTGAGGACTAGCTAGAGAAGCCTTGATAGCTCCCAGTCTAACAGGCTGGGTTCTGTCTGTTTGGAATGTTTCACTTGAGCTGATGGAAACTGAGTGAGTGGGGAGCTGATCTTGCCACTGTTCATTCTTGTGCAGGTCCTGCACCCTGACCTGGTCCAACAAGTCCAGATGGATCTGTTCCTCATGAAGATCGGTAGCCACATCATTGGACTTCTCCCTGGATTCAAGTGGCTCAGTTTGACAGAGATCGTGGAGGAGTTTGAGAAGCTTATGATTCAGCAGGTGTGTGCCATGCCATGGTCCCCATGTATTGAAACAAAACTGCCCTTTTTCTTGCTACTGGCTGGCTCTACCTCTGTCCTTACCACTACTTTTTAAAGAGTTAGATGAAGGCTTGCTTGTGCTTTAGTTATGCTCTTTATTCTAATCGCTCACATAATGTTACTGTAGGAAAGCTTATACGCTCATAAAGTAAAAAAGCAAAGCGACGAAAAAAAGTAACAATCTTTTTTAGATTAAAAAATCTTTTTTTAGACTTTGAAAATCTTTTTTAGTCTTTGAGTATGTTTTCTACTGAACATCTAGGTAACCATAGTTGCTGTCCTTTTTGAAGCTTTGTGGAAGATGAACACTTATAAGAGACCTCTCCTTAGCAAAAGAATCTCTCCAAACAAGCGCTCAGACGTGTTTTTTCTCTTTAGTCCTACACATATGTTTGCAATCTGTACTCGCTGGTAAAGTTTGTTAGCACTGAGGTATATATATTGGCATAACTAATAGACTTTCACATAAGTTAATAATACATTCTATATTGTATTGTCATCAGACTCATAGTATTGGTAAAGTTAAGCTTTGTGAATAGATCTGAAAATGTCCTGATTCACTAATGTCTTCTAAAGACACATTCCTGAAACGTCCTTACTACCGAACTTACAAAGATTTCACTACAGGCCTAATTAGGCTTATGTTTCTATTAAAGTGAACCCTTATCTGCTAATTTCATTTTTGTGTCTAGATTGCAGAGTCTGAAGTCTCTTACAAGCTTTTGAAAGCCTTAATTTTTTTTCTACTATTGCCAAAAATCTACACAGTAAATCCATGTTGTAAACTGTTGACTGTACTCAGATGTGGCTCGAGGTCATTAGTACCAGTTTAGTCCGGCAGAGCTTTTGGTGGATGCACTGAAGACTGAGGATTAGGAGAGCATCTGATAGGCTTGTTGTAATTTCCTTTCATTTCTCTTTGAAAGAACAAGAACTATTCCTGGGATATTTTCCACTGCCAGATGAGGGAGGTGAGGCAAGGCTATCCTGCCTCCTTGAGCAGAAGCAGTGGGCAGGGGAAATGCCCTTGTGTCAAGGCACTGGATCACTGAAGAGCTAGGGACAGGACTTTGCATAGTGGATGATTATTTTGTACATGTTACATTACATTTCTTCCTGCTATGGCTGCCTGTAAGGTGAGGCTAGGGCTACAGTTCTACCCTGTCTGCCTGCCTTGCTATTTGGGTGGTAAGCTTTGGTTCAGGATCTCTCTTACCCTTGAAAATAATGCAGTCCTGGTCTTTTTTGAGACACCATTCCTATAGTAAGAGTCAACCATATTTCGAAGGTGCTGGGTTGTGTGCCATGCGTTACCCAGCCTGTTACTCTACTCTTCCATCAGGAAAGCTATAGGCATCTAAGAAGCACCAGTCTGGTTTGTTTTCCTTCTGGCTTTCTGACTAGTTTTGGTGGTATTGAGTATTGTACTGTACAGTCATATCTTCATACATGATCCTGAAGATCTAATTGAATCTAATTTCCAACCTGCTTTTTCTTTCTCTCCCTTGAGATTGACTTACGCTATGAAGCCAGAAATCTGGAGCGCTTCCGACAAAATTTCATAGATGTTGATTTTGTGAAGTTTCCAACTCCTCTTCGGCCTTTGGTAACGACAGATGTTCTAGTGGAAACGTTTGAGGTAAGAATTGCAGGGTCTGGGAGTGGTGGTAGCGGTGAGAAGGCCCTTAGGAGAACATGCCAAGAAGGTGTTTTTTTGAGGATGAGCGATTAGAGGCAGAAGGATGCTTTTCTCTTATTTGCTTGAAGAGATTGGTGTCCTTCCTCTGTCTCTTCCACTCTCTTTGTTTGTAAGCAGTGCATCCCAGAAGACAGGTGGCAGACAACTCCATATAGAAGTGAACACTTGGCCTGAAACCAAGCAGACCAGCAGTGTCTCCAGCCACCGTGTGCTTGCCTGTGCTTTGCAAAGCAACACCACCCTTCAGCTCTCCTCTGTGGTGGGTCAAAGCAAGGAGCTCAGCAATCTGATGCTTTCTGATGCTTGCCTCACTTCCCTTATGGATGTTTGAGTCACAGACCAAAGCTGCTCTCAGCCTTGGTTTTTGTGCATGTGATCCTGGCAAGACTATTTCTGCCCCAGGCTGTATCGTGCCCTCTTTCGAAAGAACAAACCCTTGCTTCTCTCATGTTCTCCATCACGTCCTTTCTAGGGTATTGTCGTCTTCCCTCAACTCTCTGCACCTAGGTAAAGGTGTGGTTGAAGGTGGGACACAGGGTGTGTTTGACTCCAGCTCTATCTTTATTTCAGGAGAGTGAGCCTATTTCACACTACCTGCATGCGGAGATTGCCACAGAGCTGAGGCAGAGACTTGCAAAGATGGGCATGGACATGCTGCTAAAGATGGTAGGCACTTGGCTGAGGCTAGAAGTGAAGGCTGTTTTCCTGCAGAAGCTATTCAGTTGGGGTAATAAGACAATATGGCTAAAGGGAGAAACTCTTTGCTTCCCATGTCTCCTACCCTTCTCCTTAGGATTCAAAGATACAGCCGTGCCTTTTGGAGCCAGCCCATGGATGCCAGGTATCTCGTGGTAACCCAAGACTTGGGCTGCCAGGGCACTGTGCGGCTCCTGAACTGGCAAAGAGAGGATCTGTACTTCATCTGCAATGTCACAGAAGGTCTGAGTAAAGCCTGGACTAGATACACCACTACTGTAGACTTTGACACGGAGCTTCTTCCACTACAGAAGGGCGATCTCCTTGCACACAGTAGGGTCATTCTATGCAACCTGATCAATGCATTGCTTAGGAAACTCACTAATCCTTTTAATGAATATTCACGTATTGCCCAAGTACTTTAAAGTTCAATGTAATAGCAGAGACTATGGATGTGACTCACAGGGAAAACTGCTAGCTAGTTTCTTCACTTATTGATTCCTTCTCCAAAACTGCCTTTTTTAAAGGAAGAACTAAATATGGAGTAAAGAAAACAAACCTGGCCAGATTGAGCTTATGATTCAGCTTCTGGTTCTCTAGTTCTTCTGTGGTTGAAATAATCACAAATGATCTGGAAAGGAATGTTGAGATGGTGACACAATTGTCTTGTGAGGAGCCAGGAGAACTAGTTGGGAAGAGTTGCAAAAGAACCTCACAGTACTGAGTGTGTGGGCAGTGAGTGTCAGATGAAATTCAGTTGATAACTGCAACATCATGCTAGGGCGATGGAGAGGCCTGCAGTTCTGACTCTGTGTAGTATGACAGACTCTGAAATAGCTTTTGCCACTTAGAAGAGGCAATGGTGTAACTAGAATAGTTTTATGCTAACGTTGGATTCAATGGTTAGGAACAAAACAAAACCCCCAAATTTTAGGAGTAGAAAGGAATTAAAGAGCAAACAAACAACACTATGTGGCTGTAAGTAAAACAAATACCTGTTTCTTGAATACTCTGCAGTTCTAGTCCCTCGCTGTCCAGGACCCTCAATTTCAAGGGCTGTAATAGAACTAGAAAAGGTGCAGAAGAAGGCAGCCAGGATGATTACCAGAGTGGAATGGCTTCCATACTGGAATGGTGAAATAATTTGGACTCTTAACTGTGGAAAGCAAAGAAATGAGTAGCTTATGACAGAGATATATGCAGTCATGAGTGCATGAGAATGAATATGGATCTATTGTGTATGGTTTCTCAGAACAATGAGGAGGACATAAAATTATCAGAGGTCATTTTTTCAGGCAACACCTAAAACAATCTCCGTTTTTTGCACAGCTCTAACTACTTAGATGGCAATTGGACAAGTTTGTAGGAGAAATCCATGAAATACAAAGATAACCTCCTTTGGGAAAGAAGTCCCGCAGTTCTAGATGGTCAGGAGGGTTAGCAAGGAAGTACTGTCTTGTGCTTGCCCTTTTGCTAGTCTTTTCTGGTGGTAACTGCTAGCCGAGGCAGAGAAGTGCTATGTACATTTGTTTCCTCTTCTCTTACCTTGTTTTCCTTACTTTTCAATACAGTTGTAATGTGGGTTGATGTCCTGGACTAGACAAACTTAACCGTTCACTATAACCCATGCCACTGAATGGCAAATGGCCTATTCTTACTGCATTACTTTTTGCCAAGGCCCACAAGTGTACCCCCGGTTTAGGGTTAATAGCCAAAGAGCACTACCATTCCCACTGGGACTCCTGGGTGTCCTACGTGGCCTATAGCAAACACACAGGATTGCTTCACACAGCTCTGCTGACTCCCCTAGAGTAGCACCTGTGCCATTTCAGCACAGCTGGTCTCCAGCAGAAGCCATTTGCTGTGTTGCTCCCTAGGGTGATGCACATTAGTGATGACAGTGAACAGACCAGAAACAAACCTCTGCTATTTGGGAGTTTTAGCATGGGTAGGTTTGGTTGGAATGAGCTGCTCTAAGACTTGCCTGTCCTCTAGGTCTTTGTTGACAACTTTGTCCATGCTGACCTGCACCCTGGGAACATCCTGGTTCAAGGCACAGCGCACGTCGGCACCAGCTGCAAGGAACAGACAGCCATCGTGGACCTGTGTGACACGCTTGTGGTGGAAGTGCAACCACCCCTCAGGCGGCTCTGCCTGGTGCTGCTGGACGCGGGGATCGTGGCGGAGCTCCAGAGCGCTGACATGCAGAACTTTCGGGCGGTTTTCACGGCTGTGGTCCAGGGCCAGGTGAGGCCATTGTCATGGGGCTGGGGAGCAACTTGTATGTTGCTGTTTCTCAGCTGTGGGTTGGATGGCTCACTAGTATATCTCAAGAGGGACATGTTTTAACTTGGTCTGTTTAATCTGCCGAAGCATACTGAGGAGTTGGTGCTAAACTGTGTATTCAGGCCCATCCTGTGCTGCCAGACTTAATTCTCAGCTACCAAGCAAAAACTGCAAACATTTGATAGCAAGTCCGTCATGGTTCAGGCTGGGTGTAATTCATGATCTACAGGTGAAAAACTTCCACAGTGTCTCATTGTCAAACCTGGGGCCTCTGGCTCTGTACGTTGCTGTCAGACACCTCTTCCAATAAGAACTATAAAGCCTCTCACAAATGAAGCTTGGGTATAGCTCCCCCCCTTTCTCACCAAGCATCTGCTGGTGTAGAATCAGGTCACTCTTCCTCCAGTGCCTGCAAATGGAAGGTTGGACTTGGCCCATAAGGGAGGTTAATACAAGCCTTTCTTCACACCATTATCTCCTCTGCTAAGAAGACAATGCCAATCCTTTGGGTTTTATTTTTCCCCCTGAAACTTCTCCTGACTGCCTGAGAGATATCTTAGTTGTGTTCTACCCTGCGAGACATGCAAGAAAAATAAGCAGGGTTTTTGCCAGATATCGGCTAAGACTTTTGGACCAGTTCTGCTCTTTCTGCACCTGCTTCTGTTAATTCATTGAGTCTCAGTTGCTGGAATGGGAAAGCATGGCCCTGGGAGTTCTGCCTGCAGTATGCTTCCTCCAGGGACCGTTGCAGCAGAGGCCTTCCAGGGATGATGATGTGCAGCTCCACATAGGCCATCTGGCACCAGTGATCACGTTCTGATTCTCCTTTTCAACTT